GATGACTGAAAATTAGTTGTATTGGGTAAAAAGTCAATTGTGGTCAATATAGTCAAACTTCATGATTTTTATCCAACATCAACATATTATAGTCATATTCATCAATTTATCAAGTGTTGATCACAATTCTTCAAGAAAAGCACTCAAATCATCAAAGGGGCAAAATTGTCAAAATTAGGGTTTTGACTGAGAATGACTGATCATTGACTTTTGACCTAGTACATGACCTAATAGTTTGAAGCATAATCTCAAGGACTCAAACACAATATCTTGACCTAATTTCACGACTCAAATAATTTCTCAAGATCAATGGATTGATAGTTGAATTTTGATCAACTGATGAAACGTCAACTGAATCACAAAAGTCAAACTTTGACTTTTTGATCAACATTGAATTTCAAAGATCAAGATTCATCAAGGTACTCAAAAATATCAAGCATGATCATCAAGAATCAAGAAAGTCAAGAAAGTCCACAAAAATTCAACATTTCCAAGACTTAGAAAAATTCTAAGTGTTTTAACCTTGATAATTTCAATATTTCATGACAATATTTCACCAAAATGCAAGATGATTCAAGGAAAATTTTCAACATGAAAGTTGTATATCTTGATGAACTATAAAACTTTGTATTAGAGGGTTTATGTCCAAAATATTCTTAGATTTGAAGATATAAGCCCATGAATTCATGACATTTTTCATAAAACACTTAGTGAAAAATTTGGCAAGTTAGGCAGATTTTTTGTCCCAATTTCTTGGCAATTTTTCACCTTGATCCAATTTGATTTAGCCAAAGTGGTCAACATGAAGGTTGTAGAAAATATTTGAAGCTTTCCAAAATTTCCAAGAACTTTAAGAGATCATTTTTGAGCTAGGAGAATCGAAGAGAAAAAGCTGGGCATCCATTCTTGAATTATAGGTCATTTTCATGAAGAACACTTGAACAAATCTCAAGCCATGTTGCATAAATCTTGCTTTTCAGGCTTCAAACTTGATAACCACTCAATAATTAAATGTTTACACAACTGTTGGAGCCATTATCCAAGTGTTTGAAGCTTTGTCCATGTTGATTTTCCATTTTTGGCACAAAGTCACCACTTCCATTTTGGAAAAGTGACTTTAATCACAAAGTCAACTCTTCTTGAGCTCATACATTGTTGCTTATGACTCTGAAACACTGCAAATCAAGAAGCAGCATATCTACAACTGTTAACCACCCTACAAGCTCTTGTACTTCACATTGAAACCATGAATTTCAAACTTTGCTTTAAAAACAAGTTTCAATACCAAAATATGTGATCTTTGTTTTCTGATTACTTCAAGCCCTCAAACCTTTCCCTATAAATAGAGGCATTATTTTGCAAGCCAAAGACAAATGTACAAGCTCTGAAACTCTTCCAAACTCCCTCAAATCAGAACTTGCACCAAAACACCATTTTTGTGGCATATTCTAACTTTGAACACCCATCTCACAATCTACCCACGCGTTTTCCATTTTAATCAATCATCAAGCTTCTATAACTCATATAGAAGCTATCCAAACACCTGCAACACAACTGTAACATCATCTTCCTCATCTTTCATAACCAAAAACAGAACTCTGCACATTGACTTCTCCAAAACAATACAACCACTCTCAATCCAAAATAATCATTTCATTAGCTTCTCGGAGGTTCAGTGAAGCTATCCAAATTATCACAACATCTCAAGAAGTGCTCAATCATCAAACACGATTTCCAGTTTTGAGGTAATTTTTTCAAACTTAGAACTCTCTCTAGAAGCATCATTAATGGTTACTTTGTGAATAAAAAATGTAGACATCATAGCCCTGAAGCTAACAATGCCCTTAGTTTTCATTTATCTTGCCTGAGCATGGAGAATTTTGAAGTTGAACTTACAGAAAAATTAGGTCAGAATTTGGTACCAACAAAAATTCGTGGGCATCTTTGAGTGTTAGTTCAAGTTACTTACATATTTGAAATCATGATGAAATTTCTAACAAGTTTAATGTTTATACTTTTGAGAATGGTTGAGAATTGAAGAAGTTATAGATTTCAAAAATATTGATGAACTATCTGGCGCGAGGAAGAAGATGAAGTTACAATCAGGACTGAGTTTGTAATATATTTATTGGTTTGTATTTTAAACACCAGATGTATAGCCACCCAGTGGTAGAATGTGCGTGTATAAGGCATTCATATGCCTGGTTATGAGTTCGAGCCAGGCATGGAACATTTTGTTATTTTTTGTGATTTTCCTTCCTTTCTCACTTACAACGCGCCTGGGCTTTCTTTGCTTTGGGCCCAACCTTTTTTCCTTCAACATATCCCCTGATTATTTATTATACTTAAGCCTATTTCCATTTTTTATATTTTATTTTTTTATTAAACAAAAATTGTTTGGGCTTAACAAAAAATACTTTTTCACAACCTTCTTACTTTCTAACACCTAAGTCAAATATTTTTATATTCTTTATATATTACTTTTATTTATTTATTTATTTTATTATTTTATTTTAACCAAAAATATAAAAAAAAATACATTTTCTTAAATAATTTTCTTATTTTATTTTATTTTCACCTTATTTATTTTTATAAATAAAACACTAAAAATAGTTTCTCAACTAATTAATCTTTTTTTTAGAATTAAAAATAATTAGACTTAGATTTTATTTAATTTTCTTTTCTAATCAAAATAGACTTTAGGTTCTGTCAAATAATTAAGTAACTTCCCTTTTAAATTAATTAAGTTAATTAAAACTTTTTTCATAAAAAGCCATAAAAATAATTTTCTTTTCTCTTTTCTTCATCTTTACATTTTTTGTACATTTTATTATTTCTCGTTACAATTTATGTAATTGTGAAAGCCTTATAATAGTAAATAGAGTTTATTTTACTTGCCATCCCCATTTGTAAATTTGTATCCCCCATCCCCAAAAATATTATAATAGCATAGGACATTTAAATTCCATAATTTATCATTTTCCTTATTATTGCTAGTAATTAGGGTTTGTATGGCAAGACCTTAAAATCAACCTTAGACAATCCTAATTCAAGACAAATTAAATGAAAATAATACACTTTGCACACATGTACCTCTAGGGTAACCTACACTTGTTGCCTCGGATAAAACAATCATGCCCCTCGAACGTAGGATATTTTAGCAAAGACCCTCGATTAAAAGATTGTAGTCCCTCAATGACCCTTCAATATTGCCTTCGGTAAATAATCTTAGTCCCTCACGACATTGCTAGAACATCTTACAAGTTGCCTTCAATGAATGTACGACGACCCACGTCTGTCCCTTCACATCCAATGATAAGGCTCTCTATCAATCAATGGTGGATAATCATTATCTAAAGGAGGAAGAAAAGAACAAAGACTTTTTGAGTAGGTAGATTACTCGTAATTGCTTGCTCACAAACAAAACCATTTACACCTCACACTTTCAAAACACTTTTCAAACAAACATTTTGTATACATTCTCAACGATACGAGAATCATTACAAAATGGCCTTACATTGGCATTTTCAAACATATTTCCAAACATTCCTTTTCAAGCAAAGCATTTTCAAAACCAACACTTTGTATACATTCTCAACGAGGCGAGAATCATTGCAAAGTTTACCAAACTTTGGCGTTTTCAAAATATTTTCAAACTTACACAAACACCAAAGCATTTTAAAGCGATCAAGCAATTAAGAGCCTGTAGATAACTACGAATGAAAAGGGTGCTAACACCTTCCCCTTTCATAACCTACCCCCGAACTCAAGAAAAATCTCAAAAGGTCTTTCCTATTCTTTTCACCATTTCCCCTATTGGATAAAAGAAAAGTCAGTGGCGACTCTTGCTATCCACAACAATTACTATAAAACGCAAAACACCCAAGTCAGTTCTTCCACCGTACCATAGTAGTGTTCTGAGTTGGAATTAGAATTGGAAGCTCAAAATCAATAATCTCACCAATCTCTATGTTACCTCTATCAATTATCTCCTCTTCCCTAATCCTATCAAGCAACATATTAATATCAATAAGATCATCCATATTTGGAGTCAACGAGGAATCTTAAAAAAACATGGAAGAAAATAAAATCAATCAAACAATAATGTAATACAAAATACGAACAAAACTCAGCAACAAAATCCATACTCTTTATTAAGATCAGAAGACAAACACTTATTCAAAACCCTAGTCGAACCTTTATTTAGAACAAAACTTAGCAACAGAAGTGTAAAGCCCTTTGTTATTGTTAATCAAATGGGAAACATAAAACTCATGTCAAAATTGTAACATACATTTACAAACTTAGGTCAGAACATGTAACATAACATTTCAAGTAAGAAAGTTAGGGCAAAATTGAAAAATGTAAAGAATGGTTCATCAAATCAAACATGCAAACATGGTAAAGATAAAAAACAATATAATAAACATAAAAAACAAGAAGATAGGTTGAATACATTACAAGATAGAAGCCTTGAACGATTCACTCTAAGTCTCTAACAGAGTAACAGATAATAACACAACACTAACAAATCACGATTCAAGAACACATATAATTAGTAACACTCAACAACCTAAAATATTTGGCTTGATCGGAAAGAAGGAGGGGAAGAGGAGGTCGTCGGAGGCGGAGAATGACATGAGGGAGGAAAAGTGTTAAAATGAAATAAAAACATAATTTATATTATTTGGTTCGGTTACTCATTTTATACTTGAGCCGATTATTTATTCGAAAATCGGATTAAAAGTTTATCCATTCTAAAATCATACTTTATTTCGGTCTGTCTAATAGACCAGATCTACTGATTCGATTCTCATGTAAATCTCAGATATTCGAGACCAAAAACTGCTCTAATCACGTCACATAAGTTTTATTAAATAAATAAATTTAAAATCAATTAAGTATTTTCACCGTCAGCTACATTCTTTGTTTTACTTCTTGCACATAACCGCAACAAGATTTACTCTCGCTCTCTCTTTCTCTCTCCACCGCACTCCGCCATGGACAACCCACCGCCATTACAAAAAATCGCAATCTCCGGCGCAACCCTATCCTCTCTAATCCACCGCTTCTCCACCGCCACCTCCACTTCCTCAATCGACGGCCTCCTCTTCGGCAACCTCACCTACGTCACCTCTCTCAATCTCTCCGACGACTCCTCCGAAACTTCCCAAACCCTCCTCGCAACCGTCACTAGTTTCCTCACCTCCTCTTCCTTCCACGACACCTCCGGTAAAATCAACACCTCCTCCCTCCGTCGCCTCATCCCTAACTCCACTTCCCTCCTCGGTTGGTTCTCCGGTCGCCGCCGTACTCCCCTCCGTCCCTCCCTCCGCGAATTCTCGATCACTTCCTCTCTGTCATCTCTCTTCGAACTCTCTTCCACCAAACCCTCTCCCAATTCCAATTCCTCTTCATCTTCCCCCAATTTCAACCCTTGCTTGTTCTTTCTCCTCGCTTCCCCGATTTCGGATCAAACCTCTCACATTCACACTCACGATTACCGCGCTTACCAGTTCTTAACCGGAACAAATTCATTCAACCCGGTTTCAATCGATATTATCAACATCGGTCCGGCTTTTCGCGACCATTATGGATCTTTTATCCCTAATTCGCCATTTCCTACTCTTGATTGTCAGCTCAGTTACTCGCCGATGATTCGCGATGACGATGATGAGCGGCTGAGTAAGATGAAACAGGCTTCTAAAGATCAGATGGAGTTGGATGCTTGTGTTGAGGGGCTTGAGGTTGGTAGGTTGAGTAAATTGATGGGCTCTGAGGCTAAGAATTATACACAGAGTTTGGAAGATTTGTACCTTAAAATGCTTGTCAAGATTGAGAATTTGACTACCTTGGTTGAGCAGAGTTCGGCTAGGGTTCTTGAGCAGGTTAGTCAGCTTTGTTTGTTTGTATGATTGATTGTTTTTCTTTCAGTTCAATGCTAAATGAATATATTGATCACTGTGATCTTGAGCAAGATGTAGTAGTTAACATGTAGGCATAGTTACTATGAACTACTCAGAAATCTACCGGACATGATACTAGGCACGCATTGATTTTGAAGTGTCACCATGCTACATAGGATAGTTAAGAAGAGTAGATTGAAGTGCTATTGGTTTTATTTAGGAATATATGATTGGTCAGGTGGACACATTCTTCTTTCGCAAGTGGAGAGTACGTGTATGGATGGATATGGTGTATAGGGATACTCTTTAGTGAGAGGTCCTTAGTTTGAACCGTTGTGAAAATCAAATTTTTTTTTTTTTATGTAGTCATGTGTATGTGTTTATGGAACAAGTATACTCCGTTTGATCCGAACATGATTGAAGGATACATGATAGTTGTGGATTTCATCTAAAAATGAATTTAGGAATTTGTTATGTTGTTATCAACAGAAGGAGAGGGAAGAGAAGCACACCTTTGCATGCCTATTAATGCCAATCAATATGATGAAAAGTCTCAAATAGTTGCTTTGGAGACTATCTGATAAATTGATGTTATAGCTTCTTTATTTTTTTCTTTAGAAGGAAGTAATGCAATTAGAGTTTGTGTTTCTAGTGGAAAATTAAAATAGAAATCATTTGTGAATTTAAGTATATGTCATTTGCTTGCATCATGTGCATAGTGTTATGTGTAGTAAGACAATATACAATTCCTTGGTTAACTGGTAGAAATCCTTATAAAACTGAGTTATTTGTGGGATAGGGTAGAAGTTTTAAATCCTCGAAGACCGGTTTGTTTCTACGATAACTGGCAGAAATTATATTTCCCAAAGGCCGAGTATAAGCTTGACATACCAGATAACCAATCTCTGAGTGAATACATGAACTAAAAATACAAACCCGACAATTGATGTTTGGTCATTAGGAAAGAATTGACGATAAAGTCATAGGAGTTACTGAAAGCAAGATAGAAACGTTGAATGGAGTAGTGAGACACAATGCAAAGCAATTAAGTTCTCTTTAAGAATTTGGGATATTGAGATGATACTGGAACACGATGTTCTCTAAAGTTTGGAACTCTCAACTCATGATAACTTAGAACTGTCCACATTTCCTTTGTATATTCCAACTTTTTATTAAGCATTGGAACTCTCAACTCTTGGAGGCTTCAAATGAGTACCATGATTACTTATTGCTTCAACCATCAATTTTAAGCTTTTCGACTTTGCAACGTTAAAAGGAATTCCATTCCTGTAAAAACATTGAGCTATATACTCGAAAGTTCTCCCTATTGCTTCCTTACCATAACCATCCTTTATGCGCGACTGTTTCTTTCTTTTTCTCAAAGTTTTACCTTTTTTTTGGTAGGACTTTGCATCCAAGGGGCCTTTTGTACTCTTCTTGGAAGCCGACAAAGTGGCCTCATCATTCTGCCTTTTTCCACTTCGAATTCTACTTATTTCTTGCAAGTCGCAACTCTTCAGCCTGATCATCGTCTTCAGCCTCATCATAGGCTTTCTTCAAAATAAATTTAATGTCCTCTGGTGTTTGGCTGCAAGGACCTACATCTCCTTTTCTTCCTATTTGATGTCTTTTGGCCCTAGAAATTATTCTATCTGTACTAGAACATGTATAGTCGGTCAAAAACAAAAAACTAAACTGAAATAAAATAGAGGCTAGATAGGCAAAAATTGAAACTGAAATAAAATATTGGCCGTATTTAACAACATAGCTCTAAACCACAAAAAGGCAAGCTTGGGGTAATGGGAAACTTAATACTCTGTAAACCCCAAGATAACAAACTTGAAGCTACTGTACCCTTTAGTAGAACTACAATGGGGGAAATAATGTTCCTTCAAATTTGTTTGCTAGATCATAGCTGTATGCTATCCTGGTTGAGTACAAATTGGCTCAAGTTATGCAATAGTAAATGTGGTCTCAAGGTTGGAAGACTCAACAATCTTCCTTGGCTCTGGGGACTTGGTTCTGTTTTGGCCAAGTTGACCCCACATGTCTAAAAAGAACATGGTTGATTTGTAACCTACACTCTTAGCTCTCGAATATGAATGCAAGGCTAATTGATTGGCAGCTCTTCTTTGATGAGCAATAAACCCAAAATCTAAGTGGCGACTACAGCAGCCCATAAAATGAAGCCTGAGGAAATAGAGTAGGCATCTTCAGTCATTTCTTAATCTTGTAGAATGAGATCAGGAATATTCATACTAGCTTAGCACATCCAGTAGGCTTTGTTCTGAACAGTTGTTTTCCTCACTATATTGGGAACTGAGAAATAATGATATGGATTTTTATCGTGCTGATAGAAAATTATTGTACTTATGCTGTTACTAACCTGAGTTAATTTTTCTTTTATAAATTATGATCAGGAAAATCATAATAAGAAATTGAGACACAAAATTATGAGATCTGCTGCTGCAGAATAACTGTCTTCAATGATGGAAGTTACTTCTGTTCTTTCAGGTAACTTGCATCTTTTTTATCTTGTGTTTAATTTTTTAATTTTTAGTTTTATCAATCTTGAATAGATAAGTAATTTTCCCTCTAACGAAGAATATAGCTGACCAGTTATATCGGAAACTTGGTTTATCTCCATGGAGATTGTAAACATTTCTGTAGTTCTTGATTTTTTTCACTTTACATGAGCAAAACTACAGTATTTTTGAACAGTTTGACCTTCTTTTGACAATACCTAAAATTGTAAAAGCATCATGCGAATGAATCTGTTCTCATATGATTGGTCAGATTATTACTTCTGTCAATTAGCATCACCAAACTCACTGTCATGCTTATACAAAACAAATGTTCAATTTGTATGCATAGCCAATCATAGATGTTAACAAGCTTACTTTTTGTGGCACAGAACAGATATGATATGGCAATCGACACCGTTCAGAGTTATGCACCTGATTTGGATCATTAAGTTTCTTTTGAAATCACTTGAAACTTGAGATTTCCTTTTTGATATTTTGGGTGAGCATGTAGTATATGTGCCGCAGATGTTGTTATTGTATTTTACTTTTTGGCTACTCTTCAAGTTGAAGAAGGTATTGATTGTGCAGCTTTGTTGAATGATTCGGTCCTTCATACTATCAGATATATGCCAACTGTGTTCTATAGTTTGTAAATTTTGCTTCTTTTAGCCCTTCATTGAAAAGTATACTCTGATGGAGTTGTTAAGGTGCTATGTCGTTTAAGCAAGCTCACTTGCATTATTAACTAATGATTGTTTTTTAACAGAATAATTGACTAAACACATCGAAATATAAATAAATTTTATCTTTTCACATTCATTAAATAATTAATGTATTTGATTTATATATAAATCAAATATATTAATTATTCAATAAATTTAAAAATATAAAATTTGTTTATAATATAGGACATAGGGAATATTTTATATTTAATTTGAATTTTAACTTAAATTATTTGTATAATAAATTTTATGATTTTTTTAATGCGCCCGTGAAGTATGACAACCCAACACATAAACTCACATAATATATCCTTCCTAAAACCATCAACTCCACCTAAGATCTCTTGCACTTCAATGCTTGTTGTCTAAGCTTTAAAATTTATAGACAAATTTGTTTTATAAGTTTTCAGAACATTAATAGAAAAGGACATGAAAGTACTAAATTAAATAAATAAATTCAATTTCACATATATTTTAGTGATTAAGCTAAATTGATATTTTGCAGACATCAGATAGATTATCCTCTCTTTTTTTATTAATTAAATTTTAATTTACATAAAATGATCTCAGAAGGATGCATTTCCGCATACCTTGCATACATAAAAGGATGCATTACGATTTATTAACAGAAATAATATTTACTAACACTTAAAAAGTATTTATTACACAATAGAGTCAATCAAATAAAAAATTTCAAAGGTCCCATTCACAAATATAATAATTGAGTTATCAACCAGAGTAATTAATATTAAATATTAATTAATATATTAAATAATATTTATTATAAAAAAAGTACTTAAAAACTGTTTAAACGGAATTTTAATTAAAATTTAACGTTTAAGTGTGTATTCTATTTTAATATATTAAAAATTTGTTAGAAAAAAATATTTAAAAACTGTTTAGACAGAGTTTCACTTAAAATATAACACTTAAGACTTAAGTGTATATTCTATTTTAATATTTTAATATATTAAGGATAATCTCATGTTGCACATGTTAATCACTCACTCATAAGTAACTTACGTAAAAAATAGAAGCCACATACAAATTCGAACTCAAGATAGAAGGAAAATTGGTTGGAAAAAGTCATGGTGAAAATGTAAGACGAATATCATTTCAATATTCCTATATCAAAAGTACTGGTTGCAAATTTTAACCAATCTAACAAAGAAAACTAGGCACAATAATACGCTATCAATCACTATAACATTAGGAAATTTCAAATGCAAATAACTTACTCAATTACAAACACTTACCGACGATCCACTTCGGAGTGTTGGAACATGTATATGTTTCAATATATTAAATTTAAAAATTTCTCAAGTCCCACATTGTTAGAATATTTTTTGGTTGAAAAAAATCATTTAGTCTCACATTGTTCGTGTGAGAAATATTAACTATCATATTTCACTATATAAGGAGTGCATATGTTTCATTCCAAATCACACCAAAAATTACTCTATTAATTTTTTCTTCCTCACTCTCATAACTCTGCGTCTCTCGAATTGTCGAAGCGCCATCTGCTTCCCCTTTCTTCCTACTCGTTGAATTTTCCGAATATTTTCTTGAATTCTCTTTAGAGAATTATGTTAATTTCTCCTCATTTGAGTTGAGAAATTTTCAAGTTTAGTCTTTTGAATTCTCTTTGGAGAATTATTTGAATTTCTCTTTGTTAGAGAAATTATTATGAGTGGTCAAATGACCATTATTATATTCTCTTTGGAGAATTATTTGAGTTTCTTTTTGTTTGAGAAATTATTATGACTGGTCCTTGTACCAGCTACTACGAGTGGTGTTGATACCATATTTGAATGGTCTTGTACCATAAGAGGGTGTATTTCTAGACCGATTATTTATCATGCAAGTAGTAATCGTATAATATAGAATTGAGCTGTTTTATCCTGGAGGCGGCGCGGTAGTTCGACTGCTTTGCATAATTTTGAGCAGTGCCGTGAAACGTCTTAAAGAGAGTGACCTAGTCCGCGACTTAACCTAGTAATTTTTTCGGTGGCAAATATTTTAAAATCCAAAATCAACAATTTTAAGACGTTTCAAACTGACACGGCTACCGAAGAAATTATTGGTTCTTTTGCGGATATTGTCTTTGAGAAATCGTTCATGTTTGAGAGAAGTCACTGTAAACGTTGACAAGAAAAGATGAAGTTCTTAATGTTGAAAAAAGTTGCTAACGTTTTGATCGATGATACTCTGTTGCTCCTTCTGGATCAATCGAACAAACTAACGGTAGTAAATCTGGAGATTTAGAAGGAACACTTAATAGTGTTGAAGTTGAATCTGCTGCACAGATTAAAGCGGATGATTTACAGCATAGTAAAGAAATCACCTTATAGAAAGAGAATGAAAATCTCTACAAAATCATATTTTGAATAGACTCGCAGATGATCTGTATGATAATTACAATTGATGTGATACTGCAAAACAAGATTGAAAGACTCAGAAAAAGAAGTATGACGTAGAAGCTGGAGCAAAGAAGTATGTTGTTAGCCGCTACTTCAAGTATCAAATGCAAAGATGTAAGGTCGATGGAGGCTCAATATTACGAACTTCAAAAGATTTCTTAAAAGATCATCACAAAAGGTATATGTTTAAATGAACAATTTCAAATTGGTTTTATTATTGACAAACTACCCCATAGTTTGAATGTTTAAAAAAAAACAAAAAACAAAAAAGGAATCTTAGAGACAATATCAAAAAGAAAAAGTCTTGGTTGTTTCAAACAACAAAAAGAAATTCGGTGTAGTTCTGAAGCCATTTGGCAAATGATTAAAGAATCAGAACCATAATATTGCGAACCGAATTAAGAATGGGAATCCTTCTATGATCTCAATAACTCCAACTAGGCAACAACCACCACCTAAAAGAAATGACGTTGGTTTCCCTTTGTTTTAACTATGGAAAATCAAGTCATATGACTAAGAAATATAGAAGTAAGCTTGAACTTCTTGGTGTTGTCCCTAATGCATGGATCAACCTGACTAATGGGCGATTTATTGCTATGGTCATTGAAATCAACATGGTTGATGGATATGTTGGTTAGTGGATAGACACATGCGTCTCTCGTTGTGTCTGTTATGATCGTGTTATGTTTAAACATACACGAATACTAAAGATAAGAAAGTGTTGTTGGGAGATGGTTAGACCATGAATGTTGCTAGAATTGTAGACATAGAGCTAAATTTCACCTTCAAAAAGACTTTAATCTTAAGGAACGTTATGCATGTTCCTAAGATTAGAAATAATATTGTTTCTGGTTTTCTTGTAAATAAGACATGGTTTAGTCAGTCTATTGGAGTAGATTTGTACGCCATTACGAAGAATGAAGTTTATATGTTTAAATTTTTTTGTAAAGAATTTGAAAATGATATAATAAGAATTTGTAGTGATAGATAAACTGTATGAGTCTAGTTTATTAATGAATTTTATACATGGAATTGTACATGAAACAACTGCACCATACTATCTTGCAATGAATGGTAAAATAGAAAGAAAGAATAGAACTCTTATTGAACATGTTGTTGTAATTATGATGAATTCTGGTGCTGCACCTCACTAGTGGGGGGAAATTTTATTGACCGTTTGCTATGTCCTGAATAGAGTCCCCAAGTCAAAATGTAAGATCTCTCCTTATGAGATATTAAGAAAAGACAATCAAACTTGTCTTATTTGAGAACTTGGGGTTGTCTGACTTATGTCAGAATTCCAGATCCGAAACGAGTTAAACTCGCTAGTAGAGCATATGAATGTTTTTTATTCGGTATGCAGCAAACAGTAAAGCATATAGGTTTTATGACCTAAAGGCAAAAGTGATCATAGAATCAACTGATGTTGAATTCTATGAAGACAAATTTCCTTTCAAATTGAGAAATAGTGGGGGCACACAATCGAGTCACATTCATGTGATAAGAAGCACAGAAAGCAACAACAATGTAGAAACAGAACTTCAACGAAGTAAACGAGTAAGAGTTGCTAAAGACTATAGGCCTGATTATGCGGCTTATAATGTAGAAGAAGATACAATGAATCTTCAAGAAGCCTTGTCATCTCTGGATTTTTAGTTATGGCAAGAAGCTATCAATGATGAGATATAATCTCTAGAATCTAACAAGACCTGACACTTAGTAGACTTGCCTCCTGGTTGCGAACCAGTCGGTTGTAAATAGGTTTTGAAAAAGAAACTAAAACCTGATGGAACTATTGATAAATACAAGGTTTGCCTTGTTGCCAAGGGTTTTAGACAAAGAGAAAATATAGATTTCTTCGACACCTTTTCTCCTGTCACTAGAATTACATCCATTAGGGTACTTATTTCAATAGCTGCTATTTATAACTTAACAGTACACCAAATGGATGTTAAAACAACTTTTTTAAACGGTGACGTAGAAGAAGAAATCTATATGAAACAACCGGAAGGGTTTGTGATCTATGGATAAGAAAACAAGGTTTGTAAGTTAGATAAGTCTTTGTGTGGGCTAAAACAAGCTCCAAAGCAATGACATGTAAAATTTGATAACTTAATGATATCGAATGTGTACAAAGTGAATGAAAGTGACAAATACGTTTATTACAAATTTTAGAATTGTATTTGCACTATCATATGTCTATATGTAGACGATCTACTCATATTTAGATCAAACATTCAGACCATTAATGATATGACATCGTTGTTGTGCAACAACTTTGATATGAAAGACCTCAGAGAAGTGAGT